AAAAAGCGGCTTGTTTCATTTCATGCGTTGACAATATCTAAAAAACCAACAAAGAAAATGAAATTGAATATAATTGGCATTTTAGCCAAAATACTTGGAATAATAATACCACTTTTACTACGAGTTGTTTTTTTAGTATTAGCTTAACGTAAAGTAATGGCTTGTATGCAGCGTAGAAAAGTTTCGAATGTGGTAGGATTGTTTGGGTTATTACAACCTTTAGCAGAAAAGACGCACGTGGCCGTATTTCGTGTGTAGGGCATGAGACTCATCACAATCCCGCAAGGGAAGAGAAAACATAACATGTTCCAAAAGCGCTGTTGAGGTTTTTGCGTCGCCATCTTGATAAATAAAATCAGATTGCCCAAGAATACAGTGCGAGGCCGCTGACGTTTACAGAGTTGCCGACCCATTACGCAAAAGTTACGCCGTTAACCTTTGCAGATCCATCATCCATTGATTGATAATGCATCTTTCAGCCTTCAACTGATTGCTTGCATCGGGTTTCATGTTTTCTATTGCACTCCCTTTCTTAGGGGGGGGGAGGGGGGGTTACTATGCCTAGTGAAATTATTCATCAAACTTTTTTTGAGAAAATAAAGATTTTTTGGAATGAAAGTTATGAGATATTCCTCCATTATTTACTAAGAATTCTTTTTTTGCAATAATATTMTTTATTCTTACTTTATCTTGTTGTTTATAAAAGATATTTTGCATATTTTGAAACTGATAGACTTGACCTGACAACGCGGCCTGTGTTTTACATATGATTTTCTTTGTTAACAGGAGAATCATACTGATCATGTAAAACAAAGACCCTTAATACAGGCTATCCTAAGTGCAACGAAGTTGCCTCTACCAAAAAAATTCGAGAACGCCTTCAATTTTTTTATCTGTGTGCCGGCACGAATAACGTCGGTTACTACTCTTATTAAGGCTAATAAATAAGCTCCGCAACCTAGAGCGGTAAAAAAAAGATAAAATTTGCTGGAAAATCCTGCTAATGGAGGTATTCCTGCCAATGAAAACATAGTAATAAACATTGTAATAGTTAAAATTAGATTTGTCAATGCTAATGCGGCTACTTGGCATTCAGAATGTCAATGCAATATGTACAGATAACGCCGAGCTCATGAAGATCGCGGCGAACATGTTGCAGACACACCCAAATCCTGTTGTGTGTCGCATTCCCTGGATCCCATGTACAACACACTGCCTAAGTTTGTTGCTGAGGGACAATGCCGCACAACCTTTTGTGCGACAAACGATGAGAGACACACACAAGATTGTGAAGTTCATGTGCAACAAACAAAAAACGCTTGCACTTCACAAGGACATGAAGAAGGCGTTGGTGATCAGGCGACCAGCGGAGATGCGTTTCGGTACAGCATACATGATGCTGGAGAGGCTGTACGACCAGAGGGAGGGCTTGGACACATTAGTGTCGTCGGAGAGGTGGGCTAGGGTGCAATGGGTTGGGGATGCTCGGGAGCGGATGCCTTATGTCCGCAGGCTCTGCAGGGATGACGGGTTTTGGAGGGACGTGAAGAGGGTGATGGACATCATGGGTCCCGTTTACAAGTTTCTCAGGGATCTTGATAGGGACTGTTCATCACCCACTGGGCTGTGGGATTTGGAGGCCATCCTCCGACAGAGACTTCGTTCACTCGACCTGTTGGACGTTGACAGGGACACGATGATGGACATTGTGAGGGATAGGTGCGAGACGAATCCCGCCGACGATGCGGCAGCCTGCTCATGCAGCTGCTTACCTACTGGATCCGCGGCGGCGCGATATTTCATTGCTTGAGGACCCCAGCAGGCCTGTTGTGCAGTCGGCGCTTAAGCACTTTGCTCGCGTTGTCGGAGGGTGGGAAACTGAGGCCATGCAAGGTCTGTGGGAGGCCCTGTGGACTTTCCACAGCGACGAGCCGGGATATTGTCCCGCGGATGGTCAGCAGGTGGCGCACCAGGTTGTGGAGGCAGGGCACTCCTCTCAGACTGTCTCTTAGTCGGTTGGGCTGCACGGCACACTCCGTCCATATGGCAGCATAGCTCCACGTACAGTGGTGCAATCATGTGAGCAGCTCGTGCAGGAGAGGGTGGACCCCACAGGATCATCGAGTGTACAGCACGAGTCCCTGGAGCAGCAGCATCGACCGAGAGTAGAACAGCAGGTGGAATAGATATCGGAGCAGACAGTGCACAGTAGGGTGGATGGCATGTTGGAGTGCAGGGTGGAGCCGATGGTTAAGCAGAGGGCAGAGCAGAGGGTGCGGAAGAGGGTTGATGAGAGGGTGGAGCAGCGGGTGGATCAGAGGATGAGGGACGTGGTAGAGGTTACGGTTGATGTGACCTTAGATCAGCGAGGGGATCGAGGGATGGAGGAGAGTGCTTGTGTGGTGCCGAGTGATCGCCACTCTGGCGAGAGCATCATCCGTGATGTTGTGACATGTGGACGTACTGAGCAGAGGTTGGACACGGACCATGGTGTTGGAGATCGACTTGGCTTGGACGGGATTGGTAGAGACAGAGGCGACAGGGCATGTATCCGTGATACGGGCATTCCGCCTCCACAGGACACATTTCCGTCTTCACATGATGTTATCACGCGGCGCACTTTCTACGGGATCCCACCACTACCATTGCGGACGTCATTGCCACCATCGACATCGACAAGGGCAGAGATTCATTTGGGGAGGTCTACGACACCCGGCGTAGGTGGCGGACACCCTGCTACATACGGTCGCGCACCGAGTTTAGCACATACTATCCCTTTGTCATCGTCTAGTGGTAGCACCTCGCCTCCACTTACGTCCGCTCGAGCACGCCTTCCTCTTCATGTGTCTGGCGCTTCCACCTCTAGGACAGACAAGGGTATTCAGCCTCCGCGGAGTCCACTGGGCATGCCGCCACTCCCAGCACGACTCTCTACTGCTATTCAAGTTGTTGATAACGTCATGATGAGTCGTGCAGGTAGGAAGAGGAGGAGGGATGAGGATGATGGATGCGAGCATGCACGTGAAGGTCGAGTACGTCGTGGCACCAAGAGAAGACGAGCACGCCCACCAGGCACAAGCCGAGGGAGAGGTCGCCCACCGTTATCAGGATGACACTCTTGGGCGATGAGCCAGTTGGGTGTAGAGGACACCAGTGAGGGAGGTGCAGTGGATAGGACCACAACAGGGGGCTCACCCGCAATGGGTGTATGCACGAGGGCACAATCGTTGGGTTTAGGTGGGCACTGGAGAGAGAGTCATGCCATTAATGATGGTCCAGAGAGGGATGACCATGTTTCCGGTAGTGATTACGCAGGGGAGAGGGATAGTGACATGAGGAGAGGTGATGATTTTGAGGATTGTAGTGAAGAGAAGGAGGAGTAGAGAGATGTTTCGACGTCTGATATAGTCACTGTCTTGGCGACCACGTACATCCTTTCATTTTGCATTGCCACACCTTGAGCATTTATCCTTTCATTTGTATGCTTTCAATGTCATTGATGTCCATTCGCCTAGTGTATACTTGTCGAGTGCGCAGTCAGTCATGAAGTCAATCAGTCATGCTGTCTATGAGTGGTGGACATTGTGCGTGCATGTGCACGTGTGTGCGAGTGCGAGTGTGCTTATGTGTATGTGTGTGTGTGTGTGTGTGTGTGTGTGAGTGTGTGTGTGTGTGTGTGTGTGTGTGTGTGTGTGTGTGTGTGTGTGTGTGTGTGTGTGTGTGTGT